AGCAGTAGATCTATGCAAAAATAAAAAAAACCCGCTTTAACAGAGGTTAATACTCGCCTGTGTCTTCCCTGCGCGCTCCTGTCCAAAAATGTGAAGATCCTCGGGTGGCCGCAAAGCACCCTGGGGCGGGCGCATGCGCACTTCATATTTTCGGCTGGGAAGCGAGGAGAGACACAAGGTAGGTCTATGGACTCATGCAGACACCGTGGGACAGGAAGTGCCAGCAAGCTCAGAGGAGTCAGCGCTGGATCAGAGACCCGCCGCGCTGGTGGGACAGATAAAAACGACAGGAAAGATGAAGAAGATCGGATTAAGAAACATAATTTAAGGTAAGTGCTTTCATTAACATTAGGGGGAGGGGAAACAAAAATTGACTTTAATGTCACTTTAACTTTATTGCTATCACACAGGACGGACCTTCAGACTGCATATAAGTAATCTTCGAGATCACTTGTACAAAACGAGTGGCAGCCTCCCCGCTGTACTTTTAGCCCTGCATGCCTGAAGCAGGGCTAAATGTAGAAAAAAAACTACCCACCCGTCGCCCGAAACTGTCTGTGCCTGGCGTCAGGTGACACAAATTCGACACCCCTGCCTAGGCTCGCATGCCAGCACGTGTGCCAATGGGTAAACCACCTAGAGTGTGGTAAAATGTTCTGAAGAGTCAGCAGCAATCCACAACTTTTCGGGTTTCCAAATAAAAATATGTATCTCAATTTACACTCTTGGAGTCCTCCTCAAGTTGGAGCGATCGTGCACAAAGTTGTCTTTACTCACAGTCCACCTACTCACACTGAGACAATTTATCTTATACACACACTATGCTTCAGATTGCTGTAGTGGATAAATCAATATGAATAGAACATGTAGTACCTCCAAAGATAAATCAGTTGTCATCCAGTTCAGAACTCCTGTAGCCTCTCCGTTTCTCGCTTTGCATGTCTGTCTTCTACATTACTATTAGCTTTACACAGAAGTATTTTAGTTATGGGTAGAATCTGATGACTGTGGCCATTCACTGGCTGCAAGAGGTCATTGTGTTCCAGCCCAATTGCCATTTCCAGTCATCCTTTTGAGGTCTTCACAATTAAAAAATAAATATACTCAGCAGAGAGAATTGGGACCATTTTAACTGCAGCCCCAAATGTAGGGGCCTCGCATCTAAGCCAGAGAAAGATTACAATTATTCGATATACACCTTCAGAAACCTATCAGTTTTGGATGGACTGATCCTTTGGTATGAACTCTGCAGACTGCTTTAGTTCATTTCCACAAATGGAGAATTCAAAATCATCCATGTTGATATTGCCTAAAATGTAGAAATATTGAATTTGATCTAAACCCAGTCACTAAGGTTTACCACATTAATGAAATATCAAAACATGTTTTGTTTCTAATGTATGTATTACTCGGCAAAAGTCACCGGGAGTCTGTTCAAACAGCCCCGATGCTGGCGACGTACACTGTACGTCGTCAGTCACGAAGGGGTTAATTGATCAGCTGTCACTGAAGTTTAACTGAACCTATGATTTAAATCAGCTAAGTAAATTCTAGGTACAGCATATCAAAAGGCGTGCTAAGTCTTAAGGTGGCCATACACTGTACAACCCTCGCAAGACTTTTGTCTTGCGAGGGTTGTAAAGTAATTAAAAATCTTGGACAGGCAGATCGTACTTGCGATCATCGCAAGCCCGCCCCGCTGAGGGGCAGGCTTCTGATGACTGCAATGCTGAACGGGCAGTGTGCGCGTGCGCACACCAGCCCGTTCAGCAGTTGTCGAACAAGCACGCCACTAACCCCCCGAGAATGGGGGGATAATCGTACAGTATATGGGCACCTTTCTTTATAAAGCAGCCACAGCCTGAGTAGAAATGCCTGTCCCCTGCCAGCATGATGTAGAGAAGGAGCCTTGCTCTTTGAGTGGAATCTCTTAAGAGGACTGACACACCTTCTGCTGAGTCAGACCTATAGCTCTGCAAGCAGGACAACTCATGTTCCCTGCTGATTTGGATAGATCTAGTTCTGACCTCTGCAGAGGGACCACTCAGAGAGCAAGGGTCCTTCTCTACAGCATGCTGTCAGTGGATAGGCTTTTCTGCTCGGGCCATGACTGATAAGAAAATAAACTGTAAGATTGTGACCACCTATTGTTTTGATGTACCTGGAATGCTCTTAGCAGATGTAAGCTAAAAGTTAATTTGGTCTTTAACCCCTTTGTGACTGACGACGTACAGTGTACGTCGCCAGCATCGGGGCTTGTAGAGCCGACTGTCGGCTTTACAACAGAAGCGATTCTGGCGACTTACCTGTCGCCAGATCGCTTCTGTGTCCCGAAGAAAGGGGTTGAAAGCTTGTAAGCCCCCCCCATGTGATAGCAGTCAAAGTAAAGTAAAAAAAAAACAAATCAGTTTTTATTCGTTGTAACCTCATCTTTTATATTCATTTAAAAATGGGTATTGTGTTCTGGGGCATTTAATTAAATTTATCACTAAATTTTGGGGTTTAATAAGGAGTTGCGCTAATATTGCGCTACATAAAAATTTGCAAAAACCACCATTTTATTCTATAGGGTCTTGGCATTCAGAAAATATATAATGTTTGGGTGTTTTAAGTAATTTTCAGGCCTAAAATTAGGAATATAACATGGGTGCAAAAAAAGGCCTCAGTCATGAAGGGGTTAAACAATACCTGGTCTTTGTTCAAGGTTTGTTCCTGTTATGGGGAAACAACTGCCTCCCAGCTGAGCTCCCGAGTTGTCACCATGCCACATGTATCACTGGATATATAGGTGATGCTGAGTTTAGTGCATGGCGACCAAAATTGGATGAAAGAGACTGAAGGAGATCAGAAATGCTGAGCTAAAAAAGAGGAAGAAAAAAATGTTCTTCTTCGATCCTTCTCTAGCAGCTAGTGATAGATGGGGTGTGTATACCTACATGTTTTTGGATGTATAACCAAACGCAAATTTAACGTGCAATTAATACGTAGGGTATATTATCATTTACTCAAGTATTTCTGTTCGGTCACTGGCACTGCCTTAACAGGGGTTGAAAGAAAAGAAACCTGATGCTGAGCTGTGAAGACTGAGCGAGGACAGTCCAGTTTTATCGCCCAGCGTTCTTTGAAACATCTCTGTGAGTAACTGTTTATGTCTTTCACTATGTCTTCAGTAATGTATGCCTGATTCAATTGAAACTGTGAAGTTCATAAAAACACGTGAACTTAAGTTGTAAATTCAATCAATAGGTGTCCGCATGACATCTATTCCCATAATGTCTTGCCCTAGTGTCATCTAGGCAGGAAATGTGATGCATACAGTTATAAAAACACAATATAGAAACACAAAATGGGATTGGGATGCATACGGCTATAAAAAATACGGTATTAACCCTTTCCCATGCTATCCATATCTAAGGACTCAGTCACACAACAATACATGTTAAAATATGTGTCATAACCCACTGTGGTATTTGCCAATTATTGTCAGTTGCAGCCTAACACATATCTACAGTGCCCTGAAATGCACCTGTGCCATAGAGCACTCCAAAGCAAGATATAAATTCTCTGTGCATTACGTTAAAGTTAATTAGCAGCCCAGTTGAAATGAGTAAGTTGCATAACACAACGCGCCAATTTTTGCATTAAATGACACCAATGTGGGGTTTATTATCATCGTCTCAGACATCATGCTGGGGGTTGTTATTGCATCCAATGACACTAAAGCTGCGTATTGTTATTGCAAAAAATGCATGACAACAAAAGTTTTTTAGCATTGAGGTACATTTCAGCCCATTCATTTTTACTTGACGCAATGCATTTTAAGGCACAAAAATGTGCTGCTATTATGCGTCCCTCTCAGAGTGTCAGAGGCGGCACTTGTGGCCCTCTACAATTCTCAAGTTGACTACCACTTGTCTATAACAGTCTTTTTCAAGCAGGGTGCCATATGGCTTTCTCAGGGGTGCAGTGAAATTTTCACACAGTGTCATGTGTTTCTGTGGTGCAGGTGTGTTGGCCACTAGCACCATGAAAACACATGACACCAATCCAGGGTGGGTGGGTGCGGTATTTCCCATTGTTCCTTCCCAAGAAACAATTAAGGTTGTTGGATACTTAATTACGTTTTAATGTTTCTTATATAAAGCAGAGTGTTTGTATCCTCCTTAGTGGGTTTTTTTGGTTGAGTCGATGGACATATGTCTTGTTAATCTGACTTACTATGTACAGAAGAGCCCTGAGGCCATGCTAAAAAAATATGAAACAAAATTCTGACTTTCAAACTCAATTCTTAATTTCTTCATATGTCCTTTTAAAAAAATGTTTTAATTAACTTTAAAATTCTGAGCTTAAAATTTAGAATTCTGACTTTTATACTCAGAATTCTGACTTTTAACAGTTAGAATTTGTGTTTCATATATATTTTTTTTTTAGTATGGCCCCAGGGCTCTTCCGTACTATGTAACTTATGATGTACACTAAATAAACACTTTCGGAAACGGCTGTTTGCTATGTTTTATCCGTTAGGAGGGCAGATTTATAAAAGCTTTTTAGTCAGCTCGAGACCCTGATTACAGAGCATAACTACAGCATTTGAGGCCATTTTAATGTTTAATTTATTTGGCAGTGGACACAACTTGCTATTTGATAAGGTTATTATTTATTCATGATGGTTACTTTGTAACATGTAAGCAGACGCAGCTGAATTCAGTCTTCAATAGACAAGTGGCATCGGGAAGGGATACCTACATTAAGGCTGAAATATAAATTTGTAGGTGAAAGAAATGGGGGATCTCCAAGATCTGGGAAAATAAAGTGATCCAGACCTCAGAAATTCAAAATATTCCTATATATTCCCAAGGAGTGTGGGACCCAGAATATGCAGTAGAGGAAAAATATCCGCCAAAGGGATACACATCAAATATTTTTCCCAGGGAGTGTATCCCTTTGGGGGATATTTTTTCTTTATTGAAATAAATTCCTTTTTGTCTTATTCCTTACAGTTACTCCATGAACACCAGTGAGAAGACATGGGTGGAGGAGGACCAGTCCATGGTCAGCCGTATGCAGAAGAAGTTTTGGAAAACCAAGCAAGTCTTAATGAAGGTTACTGGGAAAAAAGAAGATGAACATTTGGTTGCATCAGATGCTGAGCTGGATGCTAAGCTAGAGGTAGGAAAATACTAGAAAAGATAAGATAAGTCATGGTGAAAACACATTCCTTGCTACTTTTGAGTGACACTTCTACATAATGAGTAAAACTGATTGTGGGTGAGAAAAAGCTGTACAAATATGAAAAGAAAGCATTCTCCCATCATGCAACCCTGTGCTATCATTCTAACTAGGGATGCACCAATACCGGTTTTTCGGTATTGAGTACGAGTAACAATACTTTTTTTCCGGTACTCGCCAATACCAAAACCGGAAGTCCCATTAAGGAAGGTAGGCGGCGTGTAATTTCTCGCCACCTGGCTTCCTGATTTGCCGGGTGGCGTGTTAAGATTTGCTTCCCGATTAGCAGGGAAGCCGTCTCCATGCGTCTCGTCACTAGAGAGGAGAAAGCATGAAGCCGGCTTTCTGACCAATCACATCTTTCTGCCCTGAGGAAGAGACCCTGTGTGGTCTCGAAATGTTGGTTATGGTGACGTCTATGTCCAATAAATGGACATGTTGATTTTTGCTTCTACATTGTATTTGCACGGTGCCATCTGTGATTATCACTGCAAGCACCATTTTCTGTATAGGCCCGGACTGCTGCAAGGTGTGCGGAGGACTCCCTTATCTATCCAATCAGGAAGCCGGCCGCCGTGTTATGACACGACACCTGGCTTTCTGATTGGCTGGGAAGCCTGCTCGTCATCTAGTGATGAGAAGCATGAAGACGGTTTCCCGGCCAATCAGGAAGCAGGTCAGCATGTAATGAATCATTGCCCGGCTTCCTGATACTGGAAGCTCAAGTATCGGGCTAGGCATCGGAGCATTTGGGCGAGTAAGAGTACTTGCCCAAATACTCGGCATTGGCACTGATACCGATACTAGTATCGGTGCATCCCTGATTCTAACAGTGCTTAACAATTTAGTTTCAGTAATCCTACCAATGCACTGCATGAGTTGGGCGCAGTGCTTACTGCTGATGCCATTAAGATTGTCTAGATTTTTGCAAGCTACAGACAAAGGAGTGGAATATGCTTCAGGATGCCAATCATTCCTTATGAGCCAGCCTTGCTTTCTCTCTTCTTCTTTGTCCTAAGCAGGAGCACTTGTGCAAATAGAAAGTTCCAAGGGGTAAAAATGGCCAAATAGACATCCTTAGGTATATGGATCATCCATGCACACCCTGACGTTCCCTAATTTCTTTTTGTTAGTCATTTTTAGTCACATAAATATAAAATAATGAATATGAATATTTATTTTTCACTATTTACAGCAAGTTGGGGGGTCATGGCCACCGTTGTGCACTTTCTTCTGGGTGCAGCCTGTATTAACGCTGTATTTGTAAAATAAATATAAAATACAAATTAGAAAGCACTGAATAAACAAAAGTGCAAACTTAACAAAAAAGTAAATATTGATGATATAAAACTCAAATGAAAATATAATTTTCATTTTACAGGTATTTCGTTCAATTCAAGCAACAGGATCAGAGCTGCTGAAAATAATTGAAAAATACCAGCAAGCTCTAAATGGTAAGTATCAAATACAAGCTGCAGGTTTATGAAGAATTGGAGTTTAAGGTTGACTGTAGAATTATTGCTGAATGCCCTGTACATCACTCTGTATTTGATATGAAGAGATCATTTCCTTTACCCACATACTGTATGTTATCTTACTTTCTTGTTCATTGAGGGCCACGGGAATTCAGAGAGTTGGGTTATACTGCTGCCTACAGGAAAAGCAACCATCCCGCGTGCATATCGGCTCTAGCAGAGCTTTCCCTTACTCACATTTGGTTTGGCTCAGAGTTTTCCTCTGCCTTGCCTTGAATGGGGCGGTTTGCCATCCATGCTTCCTATGTATGCTGCCATGTTGTGGATATTCATATCCTGTAGCATCCAGGGCCTCCTTGAATGGACAGCTATGTGATGGAGTGGTGAGTACCCCTGGCGCCAGCATCCACAGACGTCAGGGAGGGAGTGCAGCGGGCGAGGGACGGAGCCACAAGCAGTCATGAACATGAAGTGTTCCGGAAGGCTTCCTCTGGTTAGCAGTGCTACACCATGCAGCCTGATTTCTGCTGTGTCATTCACGGACACTAATGGCTCCAATGGAAGGTTGGAGGCTTAGAGGGAAGTCTCCTTCCTCCTCCCCTAAATAAGCATTGGTGTGTCCATAAGCACTAGAGGCTTATTTCACACCAATTTTAGGTGCACACTCTGGTTGTTTCCAGATGGTTCACAAGGAGAGACTGAGCAAAAGTTTTTTGTTGCTGTTAGCAACTCTGATTTACCACCTGGCTGTGCTGGGTGTGAGCTCACAAGCTGGAGGGCTATGATTGCTCTCACCTGAGCGGGGGCTGGGGAATGTTCCTTCAGCCCTAATTAAGTAGTGAACTTCCTTTTACTTGCCTTTTAGAGCATGGAAATCCCACAGAAGGGTAGATGCTGGAGAGGTTACTTTATCTTCAAGGCTTTACTTCCTTGGCAAATATGAACAGCCTCTAAAGCTTTTATGAGACTTAACTCTCTCCTATATGGTTAAGTCTGCCTCTCTGTATAGGAGCCAGCATCTATCTTTTTCATGGTGAGGATTATTTTCTTCCAGTCTACAACTGCTCACAGGCTGAACCGGTCCATTCATTGTATCGGCCTAGGTATGTCTGCCTCACAGGTGTGGGGCCTTTTTACTGATTACTCTGGTTGCAACCTTTGGGTTTCTTGTACAAAAAAAAAGTATGATTTCTTGCCTAATCTCTCAGATGCTGCCCTGGAAGATGACTTGGGAAAAAGCAAGTCAGGTACCTGGTAACTTCTTTTCCAGGAATCTTCCAGGGCAGCAGGGATTCCCACCCTGCCTGTTGAGGGGTGTGTTCAACATTGTTTGCATTTTTACTATCTGGTGGTCCTTCTACCTATGGTTCTTTTGTAATACTGAGGTGGTGGGGCTGTACCGCCCCATTTATTTTAATTGTGGATGATGTGTTTCCTGTTTGGGTGGGTGGATTCTCTCTCTCAGATGCTGCCCTGGAAGATTCCTGGAAAAGAAGTTACCAGGTACCTAACTTGATTTTTTTTTCAGCTATAAGCTTTAAGTTTCTATTGATCAGCATTATTGCTTTGAAGGGGATGTGCTACAGCTAGGCAAGCTTTTTTTTTAAACCACACTTGTGGATCCACTGCACTGGCTTGGTTGGGGAAGAGAAAACTTCCATATAAGAAGGATGTCCTAAAACAGACAAAGGGAGAAGTGCCAACAGGACAAAAATTTGTCAAAAATTCAAATAATTTGAGCAAAACTCGAGCAGTGTATGGTCAGAGTATTGAAAACAGTTGCTCTAAATACAATGATTTGGAAAAGAGAACTTGTATCAAATTGTAAAAGTCCACTGTAAATTCCCATCATTTCCTGTAGGGCTGCTGACATTTTAAACCATGGTGGCACAAATAATAAAGAAATAGCAGCATAGAGATTATTATTATTATTAAATCTACAGTTTGTCCTATCTGCAGCTAAAACAGTATCATGTTTCTTGACTGGTGTTGGTTTATGGAGATGGGGAGGCAGAAGGCAGAGCTGAGCTTAGCAGACACAACTGTAGACATAGAAAGCAGGATTCATCAATGAAAAACCAGCCATATATAGTATCCTCACAGATACTATAGAAAGTGATATACAAATAGACCACCTGGTTATTTACATTCGTGTTGACTAACTACATGTTCTGAACAAGTACAGTTGACTAGGTCCCCTAGTCTAAGCCCAGCCCCTGCCGCACACATGAGCCCTCCACTGACAGTAATGATGAAACAAATTCCCGCAATATCAGGGTTGGTCAGTCTTGTAGTCATAAAACAAGGTTCTGTCCTTTCCTTAGAGAGCAAGGGACTAGCTACACACAGAATGAAATCCTCTACCAATAGGCAGTGACTATATACGTGGCTGAAACAGTTTTGTTTTTAATGTTTGATGGGAGTGCCTCTGTTGAATTGTGGCAACTGCTAGTGCAATATTTAATTTTCGTTGGTTAAGCATTACCCACTAAAATTAAAAAGTGGGCTATCATGTTGTCCTGAATGGACAACATGATAGGATCATTTTTAAGCCAACTGATCACTCCTTGAAAAGAACAGAGAAACCAGCAGTGAGATGGTAATCGCCATTATAGAGGGAGCAAGAAACTAGAATGGAGGCCTTACTGCTGAACAATGGCGGAACTACCTGGGTCGCAGCGGTCGCAATTGCGACCGGGCCCTGGCGTTCTGCCTGTTGGGGCACCCAGCGAGGTAGAAGACGCCCCCCCCTGAGATCGTGCCGCTCTGCCACCTGAAGCATATACTGGTGGCTGTGCGGCAGGTCTGGAGTGGGAAGGGGGAGCGCGGGGGAAGTGTGTGGGGGGGCCTTGATGGTGGTATTCTGCATAGCTGACTTTTATTATAATGTATTGCTGGGACTTGTAGTCTGCATTGCTGTATGATGATTATGCAGCAATGCAGAATAGCACCAACTATGCATTATATTTTTAAGTAGAGATGCACCACTGCCAATACTGGGCATTTTCACGAGTACTTATACTCGTGAAAATGCCCTGAAACTAAACGCAGATACCGGTGTTCTGTCGAACGCCGACGTAGTCGAATTTGCCGACTTCAGCATCTGCGCTTGCGCGCAGACCAGCATTATCGAGGAAACTGATTTATTTACAAAGTATTTTGGTCAAATCGTTAATTGTGACCGTTAATAATATTCCACCCATCATTTACTGCCATGGACGGCATGTTATTAACGGTCACAATTAACCATTACAAATGAATACTTTGTAAATATATGCCGGTTTCTTCGTTAATCCCGTCTGTACGTAAAAGCTAAACCTCTCCTGCTGAAGCTTGTTTGGTTTATAATTTGAAGTGTTTCAGCCTGTAACTCAGTAGTGCAGAGTCAGTTCTGGATGGATTTAGTCTCCAAGTCTCAAGGATGCTGAATACCTTGTTATACATACTGTATATGAGGCTGACGAACTTAAAGTGGACTTCCACTTTTCCCGTCAAATTAGAGAAAATGTGTTTATTATGTGTTCCTAGTCACATGGCCATACCAAAAATATTTTTTAACTGGGTGTAAATTGGGGGTTATGCCAATTTGGCAGCAACAATTTAAAAACACTGTTAATGGAGTTTTATTTCAGATGTTTTTATGTTCTCTGTTTCTCATCAGCTCTGGCACAGGAAGAGAATGATTTTGGTTTGCACTTGAAGGTTCATGCTCAGCAGAACAGCACCCAGGCTGGAAGAATGATGAAGGTCACCGGCAATGCTTTGTGCTCGACTGCTGGTCAGAGGTGCGTCATTTATTTTATCTGTTAAGGTGGAACATTATTGACTTCCCAATTTAACATTTGCAAAGTATTAATGGATTTACCTACATAATCTTTCAACAACAAAAAGGGATAATCGTCTGTTAACAGCTGTTTTATTCTCTGGTGTGGTTTTAGGTTGGCCCTCGGTACTCCGCTGTATCGCCTTGAACAAGAAATGTCCACTTTTACAGGTTGGGCAGTGTCAGATACTCTCCTGAATGTCAACCAAATGGAGAAGGCACGTACAGAATACAGAGGGGCCTTACTATGGATGAAGGATGTATCTCAGGAGCTGGATCCCGACACCTATAAGCAGATGGAGAAGTTCCGAAAGGTCAGCAGAACCATACAATACATCACAAAAATCCCATTACAACTGGGTTTATGTAACAAAACTCTCTTCAGAACATTCACAAATATTGGCGTACACTTTCAGAGAATTGTCAGAAATTAATATATATAATAGGATGTTGTGATGGAGGAATGGCTACCTTCTGTACATCACTGGATGTTAGTTCCACCATGACAGGAAGTGAAGGAAATGTTAATGTGGCACAAACGGTAATAAAATCACGTTATTGTTAGTGGAATGGAGAAGTGTTAGGACCTCTGTCAGGTTTTTATTGCTGTATGTGGCCCTATAGGGAAACTTTTATCTATCTATGTCCTGTACTGGTAACTGGTGCCACAATAACAAAAAGTGGAAATCTTTCCAACAGAGGCACAGAAAACAGTCAAGACCTGACATATGCACACACACTACTCTATACAAAGCTCAATACAATGATTCGGCTGGTGTTCTGCTTTTAGCTCCTGCTCATTTCATGCCATTCTAGCGCCTGAAGGTTAGGTTTTGGGTGAGAATATATTTAGAAGCTGTTATGATTTGAGAAGCTGGAAGGAAACATGAGAAATGTGTAAGAGCAGAAATATACACGTCGTATCACTATTTCTCTCCAGTTTTCTCCCTGCAGCTCCATCTTTCTCCCCTTCTCCTCTAATACTGTAGCTGTGTTTAGTACACTCAGCTTTATACATCCCAATCATCTAGGTCTGCAGTGGAACATTTCAGACAAAGTGAAAACAACAAAAGGCCATAAACTTCACAATTTCGAAACACTTTCTTTTCCAACATATTTAGCACTCCTCATGACCAACGCAGTTTCCAGGTTTGACGCTTCTTTTAATTTTTGGTTGTTTTATTCTGGACAGACAATGCTCTCCCTATAATACCAAATAATGATGAATGGAGAATGAAAATATTGGAAATGGGTAACACAGATGCTCAGATAAAGTAGTACTTATCAAATGACTGCTCTGACAACAATGCTTGTATGATATTTCCAGGTGCAGATACAAGTCAGAAGCTCCAAAAGCCAGTTTGATAAAGCAAAGATGGATGTGTGCCAAAAGGTAGATCTTCTTGGAGCCAGCCGCTGCAACTTGCTGTCAAATTCACTAGCATCCTATCAGGTATAAGGCTCTGGTAACTGGGAGTTGGATTCCTCCCTCTAATTGTGATCACTGACTTTAATTTGATGCAATTATAACAAGTGCCGTCAGCATTTTGATGCGATTTTATAAAAGTGTTAATCATTTATTTTTTTTTAAAAACATTTTTTTCAGTCAATTTTTCATTAACCTGTACTGAATTTGAGATATTTACAAGTAAATGCCCTGCCGAACAACAGATACCACAAACTGCTCGCTATTGCTTTTATTAGCCAGAAAAGTGTTCTCTGTGGCCATCTCTAGTTTAGATTCACTTTTTTTATTAGGCCTTGACTTTCCCTGACTCTGTGACTAAGCTCCACCAACTGTCATGTCCAATGAGAATGCCATTTCTAGCAACTGAAGCGGTCCTATTGGATGGAGGAATGGCAGTTGGCAGGGCTAAGCCATGAAATTGGGAAAGGTCATACTCCAGTAACTAAGTGAAACTAAATTAAAAAGAAGTATGGAAGAAGCTATTAAAACAAATATTGGTATTATTATAATGCATCTCATGGCCTCTGCTCTTAGGCAGACTTTTACTTGTAAGACTTTAGAGGGTAACTCCACTATTACTGAGGAAAAAAAACAATCCCGTCTGGGTGGACAGTACATATTGCAAGGATTTTAACAAACATTGGTTGCAGATTCCTACCTTACCCTGTTCTGAAGAGAAATCTGTTTCATAATGTATTTTCCAAATTGATTAGGAGGGTCTCCTGTTCATTATAACCACCTGGGGCACTTTCAGTGTTCTAATGAGGAAAGTTGCAGCATCTGAATCCCTTTAGAAATAGATAAGCCTTAAGTTGGCCATACACTTTACAACCATCGCACGACTTTCGTCTTGCGATGGTTGTAAAGTAATTAAAAGGTCGTACGATCTGCCCATCTTGGACAGGCAGATCGTACTTGCGATCATCGCAAGCCCGCCCCGCGGAGGGGAGGGCTTCCGACGATTCCAATGCCACACGGGCAGTGTGCGCTTGTGCACACCGGCCCGTGCGGCATTTGTCTCCCGAGAACGCCACTAACCCGCCGACAATCGTACGATTCTCGGCGGGTTTTTAAGCCTGCTCGGGAGACAAAAGACGTGCGACCGTACAGTAGAAACTGTCGCAAGCCTTCCATACCCCTGCCGATTATCGTACGATCGCGGGCTCACCCGCGATTATCGTACGATAATCGGCAGGTGTATGGGCACCTTTTAGAGATGATCTCACTAAAAGTCAATCTATATTGCATTGAAATGTCTAATATTTAACTTGTATATTAGTTCAGACTTCTGGGAATATCAGTGAGCCAATCACACAAGCTCTGGTGGTTCCATACACCTACTGTACAGAACGCCTCCAGGTTGCCATATCGCATTGAAATTGTTGAACAGTTTAAAAACATTACAGTGGCTTCAGATTGAAATGGAAAGTGAAGTTTAATAACATGAAATTACGAAATGACTTTGGACTATGGAATACAGGTTCTCTTTAAACCAAACTTGTAAGCAAAGCTAAAATGTAAAAAATTTAATCTTGGGTAAGAGCAGACATCTTTTCCCTTTCTTAGCCTGGAAAGCATCATCATTTGGAATTCTGATCCGGTCTTGCTGTACAAAGGACATTCCTACCCAGTATAAGAATGTTTTCTATGCCAATAAGAGCACCTCAATGAACTAGAGATTGTTGGTGGATGAGGCTTAGCCCTGAAGTCAGGGAAGTCAAGCTCTTAGTAACATAGTGAAACCAGTTTCAGAGGAGTACACAGAAGAGGGCTTTTTAGCTAATAAAGTGGCTGCTCTTACAAAAGACTATTTAAGGTTTAAAATGCTGACAGCTTCACCTGAATAATTGTCCTGTTATTTACTGTTGTCTTCTCAACTGTATTTGAAAGATTAATTGTGCATTGTACAGTAAAATACCATGACCCAACGTGCCAATGCCACTTGCCCTCTGTTCCTTACAGACGACACTCGTTCAGTTTTGGAAGACTACAGCACATCTAATGTCTGAAATTCAGGAGGAATTTCAAGATTTGCTTCCATATACTCCATCCTATCTGGAGGTTTGTGTTTATGTTACTTTGAATTGTTATTCTCGCAGCAATATTTAAAACATAAATAGGAAAGAGTCATTACAATGATCATTTGTTAGCAGCTTGACTTTAGAATTAATTTCCTTGTGGCTTAGACTTTTCCAGCTCTGTCTTGGTGGATTTCTGTGGCGATCTTGTCACCTTGGAATGTAGTAGTATACGAACAGAGCGCACTATCCAGAGAATTCCTACACTTCGGACTTCACAGAAATTCACAGCAAACCGCTATGAATAAGCCTACGGGTGAAACCTGTGAGAGGTTGTAGCTGTTTGGGGTGTGCAGTGCTGGTATTTGTTGCTTTATACACTTTTATTCACTGTTATACTGGATTTGCTGTGAATTTCACTAATGTCTGAAGTATTGGAATTCTCTGGATAGTGCGGTCTGTTCGTATACTATTACAGTACATTCCAAGGTGGAGACACACCTATTAGTCCAGCACCTGGGGAGTCCTGATGGCGACTAAGGAATTAGAGCGGTGAGATTTCCTTTGGCTCTACATAGATCTTGTCTTCTTGTTGACTCATATCAGACTATATATAGTTTTATTTCTTTTCACTTTGCTTAAACATCCTTCCTAAGATTTTATTTGGACATCAATTAAAAGACTGCACTCACAAGCAAATGTATTTCCTCTTTTGTAGCCAAATTGGGATAGCACCTACTGTTCCCATAGAGTAATTTAAAACACATTTGAAAAATGCTGCTTCTGTTGCGTAGCCACTCTTTTCAAACGCCTCCAAAATGGAAGTTTCCCAGCTATGCAATTGTTAAGGAGGGAGCTGGGGAGTTAATGTTTACCACAGACAATCAACCGTCTGTACTGTGCTGGAAGATCTTATTATCAGTTGAAACTAGATTTGAACACTGCCAGTCTGAGCAAAGGGTTAAAGATCCCAGGGCTTGTGTTCTGAATTGTTTGTTAATGAATGGGAAGTCTATCCACACCGTGTCCCTCTCTACTTTAATTTTAAAATTGTTCAGAGTAGTTAGCAGTCTGCCCAAAGGCCTGCTCCAAAGAAACATCGAGAAAGATAGGAAATGTTTTCTCAAAAATATTTGTTGCCATGCTGTGTGAATGGAAAGGCATAACAGGGGTTTTCAAATTTGACTACAAACATGGAAAAACACTTTAAAGCGGACCTTTACCCAAATCTTTCAAATAACAACAAACACACCTTTAGAAATGTTTAATAATGACAATCTACAAACAAATACTTCTAGATAATTGTCGGCTTTGTATTCTTTGCACACCTCATTTCTCTTTTCTTCCCAAGTCTTCTGGCAGTGGCCATGTTTACTAAGGGCAGATTACTAGCTCTCCTACTACATCCTGAAAATCTGGCACATGTGACTAGAACATGTGACCATGCACATCATCTCAGGGGAGGAAATTTGATTTAGAATTTGATTTTTGAGTGTAATGGTCCACTTTAAGTATTTCATTGTAGCTTAGGCTGTCTTTTGACATCCCAGATCAAATCAGCGGTACAACACACAGCGTACTAAAAGATCTTGGTATAATGTTTGTATAATGATGTGCTGATTTTTAGCTGCCAGTGCGTTTGATTATACTTATGTGACTTTCAGCCTACCAAGCAGCAAGATTCCACAGACAATACAATCAAGAATGAACAAGAAGGGGAAACGGCAAACAACCAAGAAGCAAATGCCTGTAAGTGTATATTGTTGTTTAAGTATTTCTTTTTTCTTTTATCAATGAAAAGGCTTAAGAGCCTCCTTAAAGGAGAACTATGAGGTGAGTGCTTTTCACTTATCCTCATAGTTCTACCCGACCTGTGACAAAGAAACTGTCACGAGTCGGCTCAGTAGATCGGGAAGTGAGCGAACACATACCGGCGTTCGCTCACTTCTCGATCCTGTCACGGCAGAGAGCCGTGACAGGGGAGGGACTGGATTCTCCCCTCCCCCATCCTCCAGCGCTGACTGGCGGAACGGACGGGGGAGGGGGCGGGTACAGCTGGCTCTGCTTTAGATAGGCAGAGCCAGCTGTCACTCACGCAGCTGGGCGGATCCAGACATAATTGTCGGGATCCGCTTCAGCTGCGGCGTCTCAGTATACCGCGAACTGTAGCTCGGGGTATACTGCGCTTAGCGTGAAGCTAGTTTGTGTCCTCCTGTTACCCTCAGGAGAACTATGGGGAATAGTTCTCCTTTAAAGTAATGTTTAAGTATTTTATAAATTAGTCTTGTAGTTGCATCTAACTGTACCGATACAAGCCCTGTAAGTTTCTCAGCAATCCTGTTTGTGATTGTAACCCGAATGATAACTTGGAAATGGTAAGCACAGATTTCAGCAATGGTGCACAATGGTAAATATTCATTTATTGTGAACAATATATTTCAATAAAATATGCAGCAAATAATGGAAAACAAGTGGACACAAAACACAGATAACAGTAATGGCAAACAAAACTGTGCAAGAAAGCCTGATCAAACATTAGACAATACACCAATACAACATCAAATTCTACACAGTACATACAAGCAGAGTAGGAGCAGGGCAAGGCGGAGGACTAGGAATCTGGGTGGTCAATCCTCTACAGCTTGGAGTTAGTGGCAGAACTACCAGGGTTGCATCAGTCATATACGTGCACAGCACTGACGTGGCATCCCTACACTACCAGTGTGCTATAATTTTCCTCAACCCATACTCTACCACGTCTCTTCCAGGTACACATGCATGTCCATGGGCCTCTGGGTTGTACTTGCCCCCTGGGCTAAAAGTTGCCAGTCAGCCCCTGACCTGTATGCCCTAGAAGCGGAAATATAAAGTCTTCCACAGGCCAGGCACAGATTAACAGAGGTTCAAGATGTGGAAGGTGACTCCTACTGTGGCTGCTGGGACCACAAGCTTCTAACTGATATATGACTTGTACATGTGTAATGAGTGTGTCTGCTTTTGTTTGCATTCAGCTACATTCTCCAGTACTTTAAAGTGAACCTGTACTTTGTTTACGCAGCACAAGCAACACCTACACTTTAATGGTAGCCTTTAACAGTTTAGACTTGCCTTCCCTTTGCTTCCCCACTACTTTGTCTCGATGCCAGGAATGAAGAGGAAAAACCTGGTATTGATTGGGTATGAGGAGCATGTGACTCACTCCCCATATTCCCTTTCTCATGGCCACTCTGGTTCTTGATAATTGCCAGCTCAGGCATCCAGCACCTTCACATGAGGGTGAGGGGAGAGTTTTCAGCCCTGCTTAAACACACCTTCCCTTTGCTCTTATCAATATTAGAGAGAGTATTCCCTGTGTAAGTTCCAAGTCATGATGTGCTCGGGCGTGTTCGCAGCTCCACGTGCCAAACCCGCCAGGAAGCTGACAGCGCGCAGCGCCAATCACAGGCACTGAGAAATGTCTCAGTACCTGTGATTGACGCTGTGCACTGTCAGGTTCCTGGCGGGCTTGGCACGTGGAGATGCGAACACGCCCGAGCACATCATGACTTGGAACTTACACAGGGAATACTCTCTCTAATATTGATAAGAGAAAAGGGAAGGTGTGTTTAAGCAACTTGTGGGGCTTCCATTAGTTGCTCTGACCTGCAGGAAGTCTGTGGATCAGCATGACAGGCAGGCAACTAGCTAACTTTCAGAAGAAGAGGTCAGCAATGGCAGCCTCCATATTCTTTTAGCACAGGCTTTCTTTAAGTCAATGGTGGACTACTGCAAGTCAGTACAACTTTGACCTTCTTATGTCCAGCTCTTTCTCTATGTAGAGGTACGCTTCCTGCAAGGTGGGGAACAGTAATAGAGCATCAACATTTTAGACTTCACCAAATTGGCCTTGGCATTTTAGTTCAATCAGGGTCATGTGGACATTTGCATACTGGTTCTCGCTTTATTCTTACAACATTAATGTACATTATAAAAAAACTGTAACATAAACATTCTTTGTTTTAACTTTAGATAATGTGAATGGTAATCTCTTTGATTTCGATGCTGCTGAAAAAGCTGCTTTTCAAGAGGGTAAGTTCACTTATGAGTTATAGAAAAGACGATCAAGCAAATCATAAGTGTCACCAATCTAGCATATAAAAAGACACTGTCACCTTGCCCATGCAGGATTTGTAAAAGACCCCCTGCCCCATTATTTACCTTACCAGCACTCCCTCAGAGTCCCTGCCTTCACTGCAGCCAGTGCTTAAATCCAAGGTATCAGTTTGTGTCAGGAACAAAGGGGAGTTGTGATGTCAAACCCCAGTCATGTGACATGGCTGGAGCCTGGCAATTGGCTACTAGACCTGAGCACTGTCATATGGGACGATGTCACATGTCCTCCCTTACCTAAAAGCACTGGGTATTGTCACCAGCTGCAAGGTAGATAAGAGTGGTAAGGTAGGTAATACCTGGTAGTGGGGTGGCTCCTTACAAAGGCACTGTTGCTTTAAATGGGCAATGTAACATTGTCTCTTTAACCACGTGATTACCAGCCTGTATATTCTGCTGCATTATTATGCAATTTTTCAGTTTACAGTGCTGTGATACTTTGACTAATAAATAATCAGTCATGCAGCAGTGTACCCAAATGAATTGTATATCTTTTTTTGAGACAGATAGAGCTGTTTTTTGGAGGTATTTAATAAATCGCTGGATCTGATTTTTCACTATGTACAGAAAAAAACTGCCAAAAAAACGATTTTCCTTATTTTCTGTTATAAAACATATCCAAAAGAAAGTTGAAAGTGGTTAAAACATGGAGCCTAATAATAGTGCACTAAATAGAGCACACCACTAATGTACAGGTCATACACAGTGGGAGGAGGGGGTGAAGGAGTAATGTACAGGTCACATACAGTGAAGGGGTTAATGTGCACATAGGCACGATAAGGGAGGTGAAGGGTTAATATGCAGTTACATACAGAGACAGGATATAGATTATATATATAGGAGAGGAAAGGGGTAAAATCCCACAATCAAAACCCCCACCTTGATTCTTCTGCTGCCTGATTCTGTGACGTCACAGTCCACCCCTCATCCAATCAGAGAATGCTGTGTATTTATTGATAAAAATAATAGGCGTTCTTTAATGGCCGCTGTGCTAAACAAGTGACCCCCCAGTGTTTTCACAGCAGAGGAGAAGCCAGTGCCATACGGAACTCGGAAGATCAATGTAAATTACTGTAGCCTTTCCAGGATCCCTGTGGGCTGACCAGGTGTATTATATACATATTTACATTGGGCCAAGCTGGACCAGTGTAAGTATGCATAATATTTTATACCTGAAGTTCAGCTTCAAGGGAAAATATAGTGTTCTTTTAGTGAGCACATAGTTTGGGCTATTTTTGCAGAAATCAAGTAATTTTTTTTTAAATATGACTTTTGTGTTGTTCATCCATATTTGTCTTCCTTTATTAGGATATACATTTGTATATTGGCCACTGGAGGCAGTGTAGATGAACTACTACAATGAGATAAGACATCAGCTACAGGGAGAGCAGTGAAGGAGAAGTAAAGCATAATCCTTGTGTAACACTGCAAAGCAGTAATCAGAGCTTGCATATGTAAAGAATAAATATGGATACCCCCATGTAGATGTATAATTCCATTCTAGTTATAGAAACATGTTTTTAAAACATTAACACACAATGACAAGGTTATGTATATCTATCTGATCTCTTTTTACATGTTTACAGGGCCGCCATCGAGGGGTTACCGCCGATACTCATGTAAGGGGCCCGGGCAGCCTGAGTGGCCCGGGAACCTTACATGGGTGTGGGTCGACGGCCTTACAGGTAACAGGCAGGAGGTGGAGGTGGTCGGGCCCCCGCCGCATAGGAGGAAGCTGGGGCCCGCAGCACCGGTGGAAGCCACGTCCCGCACACTCCAGATCCTCACCTGCTCTGTGTGGGCCTACGGTGTCCCCCCTATCTCCACTGCACATTAGGTTTTTAAAGATGGCCATCTTTAAACCTGGCAAGTGCCCACATTACATTTAATATATTGCCGAACCGTAAACCTGTAGACGATTGCTGTTTTAAATACAAGCGATCAGTCGTCTGTACAGGCACTGGATCGCTTGTACGGTGAGGCGCCGTGTCCCCCTCCGCAGCTGCCGGTGCCGCCGTCAGTTTCCCGGGCTCATCTGTCCCTCATGTGAGCCCGGGACCAGCGTAGAGGGTCTCCCCTGACAGATCGGAGGAGAGATCAGCAGCTTCTAGCCTTGGATCTCTCCTCCGATCACTGGACCGCGGAAGTGATGTGCATTACATCACTTTTGGTGTCACTGGGCACATTCTCTAGCTCCTGGCAGATCTCTGGCTTCATCATCTTCTTTGGGGTCCCAAGGTGACATTAGGTTACATTGCTGTAAAGAGGACCTGTCACACTCTATTAGCCATTACATACGGGGCTTGTTATCCTCCTATGCAATATTAATGGAACTGAGTGTAAAAAAAAAAAATTGTAAAAATTAAATTAACATTAAAAAAAAAAAAAATGTTTTAAAAAGCTGTTTCCCCTATATTAAATTATAAAACATTTATTATTACCCAATATTTGGTAAAATATAAAAGGCGAGGTCAAAACCTCAAAAAACTACAATACCCCAAATTGGCCATAGGCGACGCTTTAAAAGCTTTTACCGCTCATCAGTTTAGTGTTATCAGTAAATGAGGACCATAAAATGATTGCTCTCACTGCTATGCAAAAAAGGGGTGGGGGACTTAAAACATTTGGGGGGGGTTTACTTTTTTATATGTGACTTTTTTTTTTTTACACTTAATGTTATTGCTATTACAAAGGGGGGATAACATACCCCCTATATAATAGCAAAGACACACTGACAGGTCCTCTCTAAGACTCCTAATGTCACCTGGGGACCCCAAAGAAGCTGATGAAGCAGAGATCTGCTTCATCAGCTTCTTCTCTGGCTATAGCAGCCAGATGACTGACAGCTGAATGCGGAAGTGATGTATTACACATCACTTCCGCATTCAGACCTCAGAGGGAGTTTGCAAAGGGGAAAGATGCTGATCTTCCTCCTGACACCCTCCCGAGCCGGTCCCGGGCCGCAGATGGGGTAGCGGATCCCGGGATTGAAGGTGAGGGTGCAGTAGGGGAGGCGCCACTCGAGGAGGGGGGCGCGCAGCCACAAGATAAAAGCGAATGGAGGCTATAGCCCTGCGTCCATCGCGTTACTAAGCCCTGCGCCCATCGCGTTACTAAGCCCTGCGCCCATCGCGTTACTAAGCCCTGCGTCCATCGCGTTACTAAGCCCTGCGTCCATCGCGTTACTAAGCCCTGCGTCCATCGCGTTACTAAGCCCTGCTCGATTTTTGTCGGTTTGGTGGCGTGCTCAGGAGACGAATGCCGCACGGGCCGGTGTGCGCAAGCGCACACTGCACGCTCAGCATTGCTATTATCGGAAGTCCTTCCCTCAGCGGGGCGGGCTTCCGATGATCACAAGTACGATGTGCCTGTCCAAGATAGGCAGATCGTACGAAATTTTAATCACCTTACAACCATCGCACAACAAAAGTCGTGCGATGGTTGTAAGGTGTATGGGCAGCACAGAGTCCAATTCATATACTGTTCTGCATTGCTGTATAAATGTATTGCTGGAATTTGTAGTCCCCCTACAAGCGGTGCCATTCTGCATTAGAGTGTAAGCTCCTCTGTACAGGGAATGATGTGACTGGCTCAGTGTTCTCTGTACAGCACTGCGGTATATGGCAGAGCTATATAAATGTATAGTAATAGTGTGTGACTGTGGGAGGACATTAGAATGTAAGCTGTTCTGTGCAGAGACAGATGTGACTGGCTCAGTGTGGCGGCGGTGGGGGA